CCTGCTGGATGTGCTTTAGGTGTTAAGGCTGAGGCAAAGTTTGAGTAACGGTCATTAAAGAAAATTAAAACAAGAAAAAAATGGTCAGATGAAAAAGGTCAAATCCTCTTCTGCAGGGTGTTTTTGTCTCTCCACAGCACAGGAAGCCTCAAGAATCTTGTATCCTAGCTCAGGCACCTCAGTAAAGATGAAACAGACTGTAATTCCTCTAGGGCAGGTCCTCTATCATGGCATCTCCCATGTCTTCAGCTTGTAATCCAGCCAGGTGACTCATGCAGAGGCCTGAGGACAAAGGCAGGAACATTCCAAGGCCTCATGAAACAGGTTAGCTCTCTGAGAGGAACAAACAGCAAATCTATCAGGACTCAAATCAGTTTTAGTCTTGGTGTGTGAACAGACAAGAGAGCATTCAGGGAAAGGCAGCTTTTTACAAAAGCACTAAATCCTTCCAAGTCAAAGGCAAAGGCTCAGAGCTAGTTGTTTATGACAGTGACTTCCCCCTAGAAGAGTCACTACAAACAGTGTTAAGGCAGCAAATCACATCTTACAAATTCAAAAGCAAAAACTCATTCAAGGAAAAAAATGCCTTTCCATAAGTGCTTGCACACATTATCAGCAAGATCAGAGAGGCTATGTGTCCAAACAGCCACTGTTCCTCCTGCAGCTTATTTTGGACTCACGTTCTGCAAGAGCACTGTCATTCGTCAGGAAGCCATAGCAGCTGGCCTCCCCCTCCCTAGTGCTGCTGTTGGGTCACCATCCTGACCATTTTCAGTGCCATCTCTCCTTGATCAGACGGTACCTAGCACAGAGATAGGAGCACATGGTAAGCAGCTGCTGTAAGGAAGCAGACAGCAAGCACATATACATCTTCAGTGTTCTTGCCGACAGTGGTGCATCCCACCCCAAGACATATATTATTTACCATGTGCCCAGCCTTAAGAATCCAGAAGAAAGCAAAATTCTCATAGGCTTTGTGGAAAGCAGCTGTCTCAGTGGATTCTGGAGACACATAGAGCGCCTTCCACCTTTGCTGGTTGAACTGGTCCAAATTAGGCCATTTCAGTTTCCGGATCCACGCCTCCTGGCCTGTTAGAGATAAGAGATAAGTTTATTACCAATACTGACGTGGCAACTTGGCAGTCCCAGTTCAGCTGGAGGCCCACTGTACTAGACAGCAACACAGCAGAGTTAGCAGAAAGTCTCTTTGTGCTCAGATTCTAAAACCGATTTTGCTATGCCTAGGAAATGACCAAGGCTGTGGTCAAGACAAGCTGAAACAAACCGTGAATATGTATGTGAAATGGACTTGTGATTGAAGATGTGCCTCTTAGAGGCTCTGCAGCCCTAGCAATTCTGACATATTTTGCTTTACTCCTCAAACACCTTGAATGTCCTGCCATGGAGAAGGATTGGTCACACCAAGTCCCCCTCTTGTAAATCAGAAGAGACACTGCTTCTCTGTTACAGTCACTCATTAAAAAGAGCCTGGAAAGGTTTTCTGTTTTCAGGTGCCTGCTAGAGAAGATGGAGATGAAGACGGCAAAAAGACCAATTCCAGGACAATAAGGGGGACAAAGCTTTAGCTTACCTCTGAACTACTGGAAGAATTTACATGTTAACTGCAGCCCAATTTTAGCTCAGAATGTGATAAACTGAAGCACCACTAACTACTAATCTGTTTTGACAGCCTAAATACTCTGTTTCCTGACTTATTGATTGCTATGTTGTTCATGAAGGACATCTGAATATCTAAGTGGGCAGAGACAGGGAAAGGATAAAGCCTTTCACAACACAGGAAAATGTTTGCATAGTCTGCGACTGCAGGTCATTTAAATCAATAAGAAAAAGGTGAATGGAAAAGAGCATGGCAGTCTTGCAGCATGAGGCATTCCAGCAACACTTGGCCTGGCTCCCAAACTGCCACTTGATCAAGCCTACATCTTGCAACAGCAAGTGACAAACAAAGCCCTTGAGTGGCCAAGACATGGAGATGCCTACACAGGTTATGAGCAGTAGGTGTGATCACTCTTCAGCTGCACCCTCCCTGATTAATTACCAACACCCTTGTTCCATCTCACCTGGCACCATGCTCTCTGCTGCAGGTCTCTCAGTGAGGGCTGACCTATAATGTACACACATCTGTAGCAAGATACAGCTTTTGATCCAAAGAATAGGATCTTCAAGGCACAGGAGAAATGAGAACAATCTCCATATATTTATTCATCTATCCTCATTTATGAATGCGTGCACATACATATGTATAAATGTGTCTATCCAGAAGAACTAGGTGAATTACTAGCTACCTACTTACGGGCTTCACTGAAACAAGGAATTATTGATGGTGCAGATCCATTTCACAACAGTATAATGGAAGGAATTGTCTCTGAGAGGGATGTAAACAAAAGATACTAAGAGCTGCTCATTTATGATTGTAGTATTTAAGGGCTGCCAGTTGGATAGGAGACTTGCACAGAAAACTGGAGAGATCCAGGTACCAATATTACTGGCAACTTCATGTTCTACTCAGTATGTGTTCTGTTCCCAACTCCAGTCAAGAAGTCCCTTACCTATGGTGGCAACAATGAGATCCAGCTGCCCGTTATAGACTGTAACATTGATGTTGGCTGCCAAAAGCTGATCAACAATATCAATGACAGGTTTCATGAAGTCCTCAGCCATGTTCTCAAAGACATTTCTGGACTGACCTGGTTGGAACCAGAAAGAAATTTTATTTAAAAATTTTAAAAATAGATACAAGTAGCAGAATCAGAACCACATGAGCCTGCCCAATTACATGTTAATTTCTGAGAGTAAGTCCTCTTCTGAGGCCCAAGAATAAGGACAATTTAATGTGACTGCTTACTACAGTAAGCTATCTTTCTACAGACTGCAATACTGTAACAGGCAATAATGTACTCATTAGATCCACACTAGCGGACAGGAAAGTACCTCCCCATTTCACACAGTCAGGAATAATTTTTAGCTTCTTTCTGATGGGTCCATTCATGAATTCATTCAGGCTGTCCTTATGCATATTTTTCACATGGCGTTGGTAAAGTCCTATAGAAAAAGAGAGACACACTTTTTATCATCTGCACATTTAAGACAGTCATCTCGCAGAGATAACAATTTTCAGTGTTACAGTCATGGCCAAACTCATTTCTAATGGAAATGCAACATCACAGAGAGATATTTGCTTACTTTTACTAGAAACCACTGAAGTCAACCCTTACTTCAGTCAGGGAATCATATGGGAAGAACCCAACCATCCATTCTACTTTTGGCTAACATAGCACTTCTTCAGGGGACCAGGTTCTGCTTTAGCCACTTGGCACAGTCATGATTTCTTCTCCTCAACTGACCAGTTATTTTTGAGCTGCAACACTTAACTTTCGGGAGTTAACTGTGCCATTCATCTTCCCTGCTGAAGCCAACAGAAAGAGATAAAGGGCTTGAAAGAAACTCTATCCGTGTGTCTTCTACATTGATGCATAAACACCATAGAGGCAAGACAGTCTAATCAGACTATTTATATGGATGACACATTTTTGTGTCCTAGCTTGAGGACAGAAACGAAAGACATTAAGAGGAAGTAAGTGAAAGGTCGTGAACTATGTCACAATTATACTGGCTACTTCCTTGGAGTAATTTGTGCAGGATGCATAGGTGGAGGTGTAATCTACAGAAGGGTTGTTCCACATTCCTATTTATCTCTATTTATGCAAGAGCAAACAAGTTCTGCTCAGGAGAATATCTATCTTTTAGGTCTGAAGGCCTGATTTTAAGGATGTTCTAAATTCAGGCTGTTCCCACTATCAGCATTGAAGGTACACGAATGCAAACATACAGCCTCAGAAGCTCAAGTACTTAAACACGACTTACTGAGATGGAGATTATCTTGTTCATTTGATTTAATTTCTGGAACCTCCTTAGTCATGATGTTATAAAAGTTCACATTGTCTGTGTTCTGAAAACACAAGATGATTTCAGTAACATCATTACAAAAACATTTCTCAGACAAGAGGAACAGACTCTCTTCTGAAAAAAGAGATAAGTACTAAATAAAGGACCCTGTGAACTGCCACTTTACCTATATGTAAAGATGATACTTATGGAAAAACTTCGGTTCTACATTTACTTTAAAAAGTGGGGAAGAGTTTTGTCAAGTCTGTATTGTTCACATGTGGGTGTGAAGCTACAGGAAGCCCTACACCCTGCAAATGACTGCAGATTCCCATTACTCATTATAAAGAGTTGCAATCCCAGATGATGCTTTCAGATGGTCTCTTCTGCTAGATCTAGTCTAGCCTGATGCTCCCTCTTGCTCAACATCCTTCCAACCTACAACCCTTCAAAATCTCAAATGCTTCCTCAACAACATGGTGATAGGTATCAGCCACCCCTCTTTTGGAACTGCTGACCTCTGGAGGAGTCTGAGGATTGTAGAATGGCAGCTCTGATGCAAAGGACAAACTGTGATCAGTGCTGGCATTAGAGAGGTTACTCAAGATCTTTGAAGCCCTGCTTTATTCACTTTTTGAGTCTTTTAAGTTCTGATGCATAGGTCAGAAATCAGCTTACAACAACAATCCTAGAAAAACTGAAGTGCCCGCACCCTGACAGCAACAGCACAGCTGGGAGAAGACAAGCAGACTTGAAGAGAAAGGGAAAATGGGAACCACAAGTTCCTTCCAAACATTAAGAAGTGAAACCAACTATCTGCAAGGCCCTGTCAGTTATAAAACAAAAATAGAACAAAACGAAAGAAAGAGTGAGAAAAGGAAGCAACTCCAGATTAGTCTTTCAGTTTGAGGAAGCCAGAGCCTTACTTGTACTAAAACAAAAAACACAAGAGTGAGATTTTGGAGCAACCCTTCAACAGGAAAAACAAGAGCAAAACTTTACCTATCTTTTCAGCTGGAACTTGCTAATTAACAAGATAGAGTAACCCACAGTAACAGGACATAACTTGAGCCTGCTTTCCATCCTGTGCACCTAATATAGTTCTCTAAATAGAGATGTATGCTTAACTTGAAATTTGTGCCTTGCTGGAGGTGGTTTTCAATATTCAAAACAAAGCTCTGCAGGAGACATAGGTCATTTAAGTTGAAATTGGGTTCTACAGAAATCAACAGGATTAGTTGCGTGCTAAAAATTAAGCATCTATTTAAGCGATGTGCCAGGTTGAATCCTGCAAGCCCGTGGGGGTTGCCCTACCCACTGCCTCTTACAATCACCCAGTGGTACACAGCAGACAAAGAGCTCTCTTACCTCAGCACCGGGATAAAACACACACTGGCAAAAATGACTGGCCACGGGGTTGGGTGGAGGATTCACACCAACCCAGTGCTCTCAGAAAGGATAACCTGCAATTGTGTGCCTCCTCAGGCACCAGGAAGTTGTTAATACTGATCAAAGAAGATCTCACCTCTTCAATGACACCTTCAGCCTTGTCCCAGAGCTCAGTGGCCAGCTCATATTGATTTTTATTTATTGCATCCGTTATTTCTTTGGCAACAGCAGTCACCTCTGCTAGACCATTATCATCAAGGAGAGACTGGAAGACAAACACAAAGGAGGACAATTTTAATTATAATTCCACATTCATTTCTCACTAACAGTCTCCATGCATTAGAGGTTTTATTCCAGCTACGAGCTAACCTTAAAAATCAACATCCATTTATACGGTATGGCAATACAAGTAATCAGGTGAGGACCAAGAGTTTAAGAAGGTACTTACAGTGCTGTAAAGGTAGGGCCCCCAAGACAGCACAGAGTCTAAAGAAACAGAACAGATTTATAACATCTACGTTTTTGACATACAATTTCCTTTACTTTTCCTTTATTGTAGCAAGAATGATTGACAAAAATATATGGAGATGAATTAATCAATAAAAAGGTACTGTCAGCTCAGTTTATCCCAAAGGTTACATACCACAGAGCAGGTTCTTTACAAGTCCTGAGAACCAGCAAAGCCACCACAACATCATTAACCCCCTAAACATTAATCAGCGAAGTTTATTAAACCAGACATGTTCTTACCAAAATGTTCTCACCCCAACACCGCAGCACATTGCTAGAACATGGGGAGAGATCTGACAAGTGGCAACAGTTACATGGGGAAAAATCTAGTTATAAAACAAAACTGTTCTATAAGAAGTTTGTTTATAAGATCTCAAGGATCAGCTGTTAGGAGACAGATAGGAGTTTGCTTGATATTGTCCCATGCTGCAGAGAATCTGTGAAGCCTGCCCTTGCAAATCTTACTGAAGGACCAAGAGTCCTTTAACTTGCTTTTTGTCCTCCATCAGACACACACCCTATCTCCTCCAGGTCTGTGAGCACATCAGTTCCTCAGCAGAAGGTCTTCTTGTGAAAATAAAGACAAAACGCCAGTTGCAACCTTGTGAATCGTTTGGTGGCCCCATTTTAAGTGCAGTATTCTTACCAAAACACCTCAGGGGCTGTAGAGGTGTGTAGGGACATTTTATCACCACCCCACTTCATGTATGCTCCTCGCTGACTTTGCGTTCCGAGTTTTCATAATCCAGATACATTCTAAAAGTAGATTCTTCAATTGCAGCTTGCAATGTTGAAGTTTTAGTGGGGTTTTTTTTTTTGTGTGTGGTTTTTTTTTTACCAGACCCACTAGAGATTTAATTCACTTAAGTCAGAGCTGGCATTTTTGACTCTAGGTACCCACAGAATGATAAAAAAAAGCAACAAAACAACACAACAACAACACACCACCCACAGTCTGACAGTTAAAACATACCCAAAGGAGAAATCCATGAGTCTCCAAGAGCAGTCCCCATAAAATTGCTCTTTATGGTCCCTTTTTGAACAGCCTTGGTGAATCAGAGGAAAAACAAAAAACAACAACACAACCTTTTAGATATTCCATGACTCTAGAACCAGTTGTCTTTAAAAGTGAAAAAAACAAGTAGCCATCTGATTTAGGCAACAGGGCCAGTGTATTCCAGGAAATATAAGTACTTGTAGAACACCACGTTTTAAAGTGAAAAGTGAACTACATCCTCCAACTACTTACCTCATGCAGAGCTAAAGCAATGCCAGCAGCCATTTTACCTCCGTAAGATTCAGAAAATATGTAGAATGGGATGGTCTGGAGAGAGAGACACCACACAATGAACCTGTCAGGCAGAGGGCACAAGATACGTCCAACCATCTCCCACATCCCACAGAACCCAGGCACTGGCTGTTCACCTCACTATCAAACACTGCGTATCATATTGTTCCAATTCTAAGCTGCAGATAAGATTTCCGTAACATCCTGGTGTAATTACTGGGGGAAGTTTTGAAGCAGGCACTTCAGTATTTTGGAACTAGAAACAGCCGTGATCCTACACGTCTCTTGGATTGCATGAGAGACAATAATCCACCCCATTGCTTATCTAACTAGCACCAAACTCAAGATACCATGTCTGAATTGTGGTAAATCAGAGACAGTGGTTATACCTGCACTGACTCCCACCAAATGCATCCTACCTAGCAGCAAATACCGCCCATCTGGAAGTCTTCACTAAATCTTTCTGAGATCTGTTTAAAAGCAAAGAAAAATATGATTCTAACCCAGAATTCCATTAACTTACCTGGAATTCTGTTCTACATCTGAAGAATTCTCCAAGAAAAACCATCATATCAGAAACTACTGCAGTAAGGTTTTTGGCAAACAAGCTACAATCATCCACGTAACTGAATCCAGCACCCACGGGATTATCCACAAACAAGATACTGGCTGCCTGCAACTGTAAAAGCAGAAAGAAGATTTGTATGAAACCTCAGTTCAGCACCAGTGCAAACCTTAGTTTTGACTTGTCCATCAGAATGTAAAATGAGAGGGTTTTTCTTTTGTGTTGCTGACACTGTGAAATTGCTAAAGCAAATGCTACAGTTATATACTTACAAGTGTACAAATAAAATCAAAAGATCAGCACACAGATAGCTAGGATGGCTCAAAGTAGTAAGGCTCACAAATAAAGAGGTACAACATAAGGTCTCTCAATCTGCCCAATCTGCAACAAGAAAGGCACCCAAAAAATCCCAGTGATCCAAGGGCAGGTCACCCATACAATCTAGGGAACTCCGGAGCAGTTAGACTATTGGTAGCTTAGAGCACAAATACATTTCATTAAATAAATCTCCACCTTCATAGGCAGCTGTAATTTGTTTTCCCTTGAAGGCCATGCTGGACTCGTAATTACAAGCCACTGGTTATAAGTTGCCAGCCATCCAGAAAAACCTCAATGGCTGTATGCAATGAAGCTACGATCTGAAATAACATCTTTCTAGAAATTTCCCTCCTCCCAGTTTCCCAGACATCTGCAATTCACAAATTCATGGAAGCCCAGACATATTCCATCCAATCAAATTAACAGGTCTATTCTTAGCTCTTAACAAGGATATTCATACAAGCCATTTCATTAACTACACTATTTTAAGACAAAATACAGTTCTATTGAATTTTACATAAAAACTGTGCTGTGCATTTTTCTGTAGCACTCATCTGCTTACACAAGCAAAAACCATTCTGCAATCAATAATTAGAAGCTGAACTCTCTACTATACCCAGGTTGTGTTTCTTGGTTTCATTTCTTTGTCTAATGGGCCAATCTCTTCAAAGTTCCCAAATCCAGAGCCTGAAGCTCCTGGATGAAATACCAAATGACAAATAAGTTAAAAGTCAGCACGGTATAGATATGACAGGCAGGAGAAAAATAGAAGCAAGCTAATATGTAGAATGACAGATTATACATTTTTAAAAATGGCTTTTGCGCTACATGTTAATTTGAAAAGAAGGCTCACTTCTTTCTCATCATCTTTCATTATGTGTACATACACCATTTCTGAAAGCAAGAATTTAAACAGAGAAGCAATTACCCCCTTGTGAAAGCATCTAATGAGCTGCATGCTATGGGGGTGCAGTTTGAAAACCGTTCTCCTTATTCCCTTAACACTGAATGTAAAAGTTAGCTACCTACAGAGGTTTGCAAGTCATTAGTTTTATCAGCATGTACAGCATCTGCATTTCACTCTGAAGAAATAACCCAGAAGGAGAAAGACCAAGTAATCAAGTGATTATATTCAAAATTAACTTCTGAAATGTACTGTTGGTCGTGAACGTGGAGCACACATCACTGCCTTTTATCAAACTGGGATGGAATGGGACCAATCTCAAAACAATCAAAGTCTCTCTTACTTGCTTCCATTTAGAAACCTTTCTAAATCTCGGATCACTTCATCTAGTCTTTCTGTAAACATTGTTTAGACCACAAGCTCTTCAGGAAAGGAGCTGTGACGCAACAATGTATTTGCAGTGTCTGGCACGAAAGCCCTACTGTTGTGTAAAAGATAAGAACCATCTCTACTTCTGCAGTTTAACTTGATGGAAGGTGAGCAGCTGAGGGCACCCCAGCATTACAGGAGGATATTTTCACTATTTCTTCCTGACCTGAATCCCTCACTCACAAGGTGAATCACTCACAATTGGACAATTTTTAATCCTATTTGTGAAGAGCTGGAAGATACCGATCAGACTAAACCAGGCACAGATGGAAAGTTATCATTTCAGTGTCTCTCGCCAAACCTTACCTGGAGCCACAAGATGAGAGGTAGTTCTGTGAAGTCTTTGGTTGGGTTATTTGCATAGTAGAGCCACCAGAACATGTGGGCCTTACTTCGGACTTGCACATACCCCCACAGCTCTTTGGGGTCTTGGGGTTGCCTCAGAACTACACCTTTGGGGGAAAATAAAAATAAAAATAAACCAGGTAAAAAGGCTCAGCTTTGAGCTTTCCACCAGATTTGTTCCAAAACATTATCACACCCAAGATTGAAATGTAATTAGAAGTGCTTCTGTTAAAAAAAAAATACTATAGGAAACCTGCCTATACCTACCCCCACACACACAGCTGAGTTATCATCCATTAATTAAGCAGTCAATGACACACTTAACTTATCAGGGCCTGATGTTACACTGGCTGCCGAAATAGGAGCCCAATAGCCAGGATAACTTTTTCTATCACGGAAACATTTAAAGTCCTTTGAAGGCTTAGGCTGAAAGCACAGCCCCAGCAGACATGATGGACAACTCACACCAGCTTCAGGGTCACGAGGGCTCCTTCAGGGATCCAACACTTTGATCTCAGTCTCTCGGAAGATGAAACCATTTTACAGTCCCCAAGGAGAATAAATACAGGACAGACAGAGGGGGCACTTCTAAACAAACCCAAGATCTAATCCTCAACTCAATTCAGTCAGCAGAGTCTTGTCAACTTAAGCACCCGGTCTGTTGTCCATCTGGGACGCAGACTCCTGCCCAGACACAGACCTTTGAAACGACACCCCTTGACCTTTCCACCGCGACAGAAGGCAGCACTCCACCGGAGAAGCAGCAATAAAGCTTTTCCAAGCCCCAGTGCCCAGTCTGTGCTGACCCACAGGACACAGCTCCTCAACAGGTGATATCAGAGGGGACATCACGCTTTCTTGATCAGCCGTCACTGCGACAGCGGGGACACCCCGATATGGTGACCCCACCCCAGGGGTCTCACATCACAGCCAGACCCTGTGCCCGTCAG